TTTTTTTTTTTTTTTTTTTTTTTAATGTATTGTGCTGTTTAGTTGATCTGTGTGGTGTAGCTATACTTTAGTTGGAGGTTGGTAACAATGGTGGTTGATTCAGGTGAGTGGAAAGCTGAGTTCCTTGTTTTTCTTTGAAGCTGGAAATTGGTGTAGAGTTCAGTGGTGATTATTTGGTTGGAATAATCTTTTCTCCCTAGTAATTGATTTCTATTTAGTAAGTAAAGAAACCTTTTGTCTCATTGCTGCCTCTACAAGTGGTTCCAAGTTGGCTGTAGTGATACAATCCGACCTAATGAATGATGAATTAACCACTGTTAAACTCAATGCTACCAATTATGTACCATGGGGCAAATATGTTGAATTTTCCTTGATTGGGAGAGGGAAATTGAAGTACATCACCAAAGATAAGCCAAAAGTAGGGTCTGAAGGGTATAGTGAATGGGTGCAAGAGAATGCACAAATTATGACTTCTTTGTGGAATAGCATGGAAAATCACATGTGTCAATCTTATGTTCTTGGACACTGCAAAGGTGATTTGGGAGCATGCTAGGCAGTTTATTCAGGGCAAGATAATGTGACTTGAATCTATTAGTTGTATCAGGATTATTTTTCCCTCCAACAAGGTGATAAAAGTTCAGCTTAATCTTATTCACAGTCATTGGTTTCCAATCCATTCTCATTTCTTAAATGTGTCTACCTATTTGTGCCACTTCAGTCCAAGTTCTAACGTCATTAATTGAAAATCCTTTGAATAGCTCCAATGTTTTTACCCAATGTGCAGCTCTCACTAAAATGGCTTCAATTAGTTTCTCCTTAGACCTGTTCTTTTCATTGAATAATCTTTTGTTTCTTTCTTCCCAAATCGTCAACTAATTTGAAGACACGACAGGAACAAAGGGAACATTTAGATGTGAGATTTTTGTCTAGCTTGATGTTAGAATTTGAACTAGTTTAAGATTAGATTTTGGGTAACTTCGACCTTTGTCCGAAGTGCTTTTTCGTTTAGAAGAGCATCCAGCTCACACATTGAGAATAGTGTTTTAAAAGGCATGGAAGGCATATGCTTGAGGTGCACCTCTAGGTGAGGTGCCCCAAAATGCCTTGAGGTGCATGCTAGAGGCATTGATGCTTCTGAGGCATATTCCTCGGGTGCAAGAGGCATATGCCTCATAGGCCTTTTTCATGAGGTGCTAGAGGGCTTACATTCCAAACTACCTCTCATGCCTCCTGGTAGTGGAATGCCTTCGCATTTTAAAACATTGATTGAGAGTAGGGATGATCATGGGCCGGGCCCTTGCTGGTCTTTGCACTTAGGGGTGTCAATGGTATTCGAAAATCCGATTTCGAATTCAAGATTCGACATAATCGAATCGAATTCAGATAATTCGAATATCTAATCGGTCGAATTTGGATATCCTATTCATACCGAATAGTTAATCGGATTCAAATT